GCTATTTTGTGTTGAGCGGTTAACAAAGAAATAGGTACTCCTAAATGCTTAATTTAGAGTTAACGTAACTTTAGTTCTACAAATGTTGGGCTATACGTTTTGATTTGTATTACATGGTAAGGCTGCATGATGCGACTCTAATGATGCTTGAAAGGCATGAGCTCTGCTTAGTTTTTTTTGCGCAGGCTGTACACACTTCATCAGTCTCTCATTCATAATTTGACAAGCACTTGATAATACCTCAAATTTCCCGGTGGCATCCCCTTTGTGTAGCTGTAATGCACCCTAAAAGAATCCATGCGATTGATCCCAAATTAATACAACCACTAGCATCAAAAAAACGTTGAAATGAGGCTGATGCAACAGATCAGACGTTTAGGTTCAATTATGATTTTAAAAAAAGCATTGTTACTTGCCTTACACTGGGCATCATTCACAAGTGATAATATATAATTCACAAGTGATAGGCTAATATTGTCACCCATCAGACTATTCTTGATTTAATCTTGTCTTTACATATGTGGTCCTCTGTAGCTCAGCTGGTAGAGCACGGCGCTTGTAACGCCAAGGTTGTGGGTTCGATCCCCGGGACCACCCATACACAAATGTATGCACGCATGACTAAGTCGCTTTGGATAAAAGCGTCTGCTAAATGGCATATTATTATTATAATATACTAAATAATATATGTATGACATTTATTTTGATTTAGAAGGGAACATTATCATGCACCTGTCTCGAAACAAAAAAAAATACATGTCATCTATGCACTTAAATAGCGAATGGAGGACGCTTTTCCCGTGGTTCATTTTCATGCCGGCCAGGTAGGCTATACTCCTGTTGTAAAGATAAGCAATGTGCATATTATTAGGAAAGTTGAGAAATAAATATAGTAGGCCTAGCCTATAGAAAGCTGATGGGATCCTCCTCTTTTTAATAGAGGCCATCACTCAAACCGGTGCGCCTGGCACCTACTACAATACCCTGTTCAAAGGCACTTAAATATTTTGTCTTGCCCATTCACCCTCTGAATGGCACACATACACTACCGTTCAAACGTTTGGGGTCACTTAGAAATGTCCTTGTTTTCGAAATAAAAGTATTTTTTTTGTCCATTAAAATAACATCAAATTGATCAGAAATACAGTGTAGACATTGTTAATGTTGTAAATGGCTGGAAACGGCTGATTTTTAATGGAATATCTACATAGGTGTACATAGGCCCATTATCAGCAACCATCAGTCCTGTGTTCCAATGGCACGTTGTGTTTGCTAATCCAAGTTTATCATTTTAAAAGGCTAATTGATCATTAGAAAACCCTTTTGCAATTATGTTAGCACAGCTGAAAACGGTTGTGCTGATTTAAAGAAGCAATAAAACTGGCCTTCTTGAGACTAGTTGAGTATCTGGAGCAACAGCAATTGTGGGTTCGATTACAGGCTCAAAATGGCCAGAAACAAATAACTTTCTTCTGAAACTCGTCAGTCTATTCTTGTTCTGAGAAATGAAGGCTATTCCATGCGAAAAATTGCCAAGAAACTGAAGATCTCGTACAACGCTGTGTACTACTCCCTTCACAGAACAGCGTAAACTGGCTCTAACCAGAATAGAAAGAGTAGTGGGAGGCCCCGGTGCAAAACTGAGCAAGAGGACAAATACATTGGAGTGTCTAGTTTGAGAAACAGGCGCCTCACAGGTCCTCAACTGGCAGCTTCATTAAATAGTACCCGCAAAACACCAGACTCAACATCAACAGTGAAGAGGCGACTCCGGGATGCTGACCTTCTAGGCAGAGTTGCAAAGAAAAAGCCATATCTCAGACTGGCCAATAAAAAGAAAAGATTAAGATGTCTACACTGTATTTCTGATCAATTTAATGTTATTTTAATGGACAAAAAAATTGCTTTTCTTTCGAAAACAAGGACATTTCTAAGTGACCCCAAACTTTTGAACGGTAGTGTACACAATCCACATCTCAATTGTCTCAAGGCTTAAAACTATCTTTAACCGGTCTCCTCCCCTTCATCTACACTGATTTGAAGTGGATTTAACAAGTGGCATCAATAAGGGATCATAGCTTTCACCTGGTCAGTCTGTCATGGCAGGTGTTCCTAATGTGTTTTAGAACCGTATACACCATTGGTTGAAACACACTGATATTGATCAGTACAGTACATACCAACATTCAGATTGGCACGAGAAAAAAAAAAAAAAAAAAAAAAAAAAAAATTTTCATTAAAAAAAAACTAAAAACAGCCAATAGGAGGCAAACAGCATCCAGTTCATAAAGAGTGGAAACAAACTATTCCAATTCAATGTAAGTTTTACCTGTAGTGTATTGTCATCTGCACAGCATGAATTGTAGATTAGAGTTTGAAAGGAAAATGTAGGCTACCTGAGAAGGTAACGGAAGTAAAGTTTTTCATTTTGCTAAGCCTGAATATAGGGTTGTGTTTTACCTTTGTTGAGACATTTACATTTTAGTCATTAAGCTCTTCTTATCCAGAGCGAATTACAATGATTGATTTTTTTCTGTAAATGAAAGCTTTAGAAATACGATTTATTATGCATATGTCAATACATCTTGTGGTTATAATACTGGGGGAAATGATTGTTTTAAGATTATTGAGAGGTGACAAACACAGCTGTAAGTCATGCCCCTCTGTGCTCATCATCATGCCCCTTTTTAGTGTTAGCAGGAAGGCTCTTTAGTGTTCCTCAAAATAAATGGATCACAACCACTTTTTAGGCAAACCGGAGTTTTCATTGGTGCAATAACTATAATATGCATGTTACAAGGAAATGTGTCAATGTACACATTTGGATTGGTATACTGATATAATTGCATAAACAAGAAACAAATACTGGACAGAAGAGTCTTACATTGAACTAACATTTCATCTCATCAAAAACTTCCAACCATTTTTCTTATCCTCCTGATACAATTGAAAATATATGCTCTATATTCATATTCTGACAATTCAATAGAATGTCTTTACTTTCGGATTGCCATCCAATATCTTAAATATGTACAATATTCATTCGTACAGGTTATGGTATTGAAATTAATTACAGGCATTGGCTAAATGTGTTGCATAAAAATATATATATATATATAATGTACTCAAATTAAATAATTTAAGTTTAGGTGTGTCTGGAGAACAGAGTAAACAAACAGTTACATAATAAAATTACACAACAATTGTTTTACAAACATTTGCTTAAAGGAAAATAATTTTGGTATTTGTTTCATTAGTCCAACTTGATTGCTGACATGCAACATATCAACAATGGACAAATTAAACAAATACCAAAAGATAGTTTTGGGGTGGAGTTTTCCTTTAAGTAATACAACATTCATCCTTTTTAGGCTGACAATACATACAAGCTAATATTTTGAAATTCAAGGAAGTCAACTACTCACCTGCGCTAAATTGTACAGACACAGTAACACTTCGTATCATTTTTTACCTGAAACAACAAAAAAAGTACTAACACAAGGTCATTTTCAAAATGACAGTTGCAGGAACACTTTGGAATTCCACACCACTAAATTTTTTTAACTTAAGGGTTACAATTGTTGGTCTAATATGTAAATGTGTTATATGTGAATTCCTGTTTCAAAATGATAACAGTAAGTTAAAACATATTGCTGTAACTACAAAGTCTCCTAAATGAGAAAAAAGAAAATTGTCATAAAATTTAAAAATGACCAAATGGTGCAAAACAGGTGACTTGTTTAGCTACAAAGCAACAAATAGAAACAGACGTTGGCATTCAGGTGAACATAGGGCTAATAATGCATGGAAACTAGTCAATTGTCATGTTCACAATCAAACTGCACACAAACAATTGGGCCAACCCCACCTCCCACCCGCTTGTCAAACATCTCAATCCAAATTCATGGGCATTAATATGGAGCTGGACCTCCCTTTGCCCTTCTGGGAAAGCTTTCCACTAGATGTTGGAACATTTCTGTGGGGACTTGCTTCCATTCAGCCAAGAGCATTAGTGAGGTCGGGCATTCGGCGTTCCAATTCATCCCAAATGTGTTCGATGGGGTTGAGGTCAAGGCTCTGAGCAGGCCAGTCAAGTTCTTCCACACCAATCTCGACAAACCATTTCTGTATGGACCTCGCTTTGTGCACGGGGGCATTGTCATGCTGAAACAGGAAAGGGCCTTCCCCAAACTGTTGCCACAAAGTTATAGGTACAGAATCATTTAGAATGTCATTATATGCTGTAGCGATATGATTTGCCTTCTCTGGAACTAAGGGGCCTAGCCCGCACCATGAAAAACAGCCCCCGACCAATATTCCTCCTCCACCAAACTTTACAGTTGGCACTATGCATTCGGGCAGGTAGCGTTCTCCTGGAATCCGCCAAACCCAGATTCGTCCGTCGAACTGCCAGATGGTGAAGCGTGATTCATCACTCCAGAGAACGCGTTTCCACTGCTCCAGAGTCCAATGGCGGCGAGCTTTACACCACTCCAGCCGACGCTTGGCATTGCGCATGGTGATCTTAGGCTTGTGTGCGGCTGCTCGGCCATGGAAACCCATTTCATGAAGCTCCCGACAAACAGTTCTTATGCTGACGATGCTTCCTGAGGCAGTTTGGAACTCGGTAGTGAGTGTTGCAACAGAGGAGAGACGATTTTTACGCGCTGCAGCACTCAGTGGTCCCGTTCTGTGAGCTTGTGTGGCCTACCACTTTGCGGCTGAGCCGTTGTTGCTCCTAGATGTTTCCACTTCACAATAACAGCACTTACAGTTGACCGGGCAGCTCTAGCAGGGAAGAACTTTGACAAACTGACTTGTTAGAAAGTTGGTATCCTATGATGGTGCCACGTTGAAAGTTACTAAGCTCTTCAGTAAGGACATTCTACTGCCAATATTTGTCTATGGAGATTGCATGGCTGTGTGCTCGATTTTGTACACCTGTCAGCAACGGGTGTGGCTGAAATAGCCGAATCCACTAATTTGAAGGGATGTCCACATACTTTTGACCATGTAGTGTACTTCTTCCTTTCTGGATTGTCATTTTGGTATGGGTACTTACAGAGTACAGGTGTTAAGACTATGAAATGATTGAAGCTGTAACGCTCACTGATGCAACGTAACAGATGGGGAGGCAGGAGTGCCATCTACGTTACGTACATGTGCAATGTCATACCTTACAATACTTAGCCTTTGGGTACAGTTTATCAACTGTACATAGATTAGAAGCAGCATGTGATAAGTGAGAGGTACTGTTCATACACCACATACACATCTATTAGGTAGCCTATTAGCACAGCCTGCTAGGAACAGAAGTACTAGCGGTATGGTTATGTGCACTACAATGGAGAAGAGGAATTTTCATTAGTAAACCTTGGCTGGGGACTGCATGTCATCTCACCTCATTGCGATTTCTTCTCATGGAACGGCACAGACCGTCCTGATGTTTATCTTAGGCTCCTTATTTTAGATAAATGGAAAATCCTCATGACAAAAACAGATATGCAGATTCTGGTTTACAAATTCTACTCCTGCATAGTAATCCACGTAACCCACCTTGCACACAAATGAAAAAACCCAGACAAGCAATAGTCTGAAATACATTTTGGTTTCACAGTTAGGAAAAACATTAATAGAACACAAGCAGGATAAAACAACAATACGAACCGATGCATCTGTATATAGACCAAGATGAAAAGCCCAACTAGATTGATCGGCGAATCAAGTTGTTTTTATCAGGCTCCAGAAACTCCTCGACAAGAGTATCTTGTACATTCTTAAGCTCCTCCTCAAGACTTGAGATGTCACTGAAAGCAAAAATAAAAACAAAATGTAAAATGCAAAACATTTTTACGATGCTAGCTGGTCTATGGCTTGGCTTTACCTTAATTGCCCCAAATGCGCAGCCATTCGTCTTACACTATAGCTTAAACAAGGTCCAACTTACTTTTTCCTGCCATCTCTGCCACTACAATACGGAGACATTATACTGGTTCTTTTTTAACTATTCCGTAACACTGTGGCTAGCTCTAACTGGTCCTCCAGAGTGTGTCATTGCTAGTAGAAGGGGGCGTCGTTACACTCAACACAAACCTTTTTCCGGGCGGTGCACAGAATTCTGTGTAGAACTTAATCTTTGGCTCTGTGCCACTGGTCCTTAGTGTGGCCACGATCCCATTCTGCAGAGTGAAGGTGATCATTTGGCTGCTCTTTGTCACAGGAAGCACCTGAGAGAGAGGATGAGGAGTTTTTAACTATACCTCTCACTATGAACCATTCAATTTGAAGCACACTAATGTATGAAATAAAAAATAAAACCACAACATTACACTTACGCAAAGTTTGTCAGGTTGACTACTGTCATATCCTGTAGTCACATCTCTCACGTCAACAATGCTGTGTCCACCCGAGGATTTGGGGTAAGTGTTCTCTCCCTCAAAGTTCCGAAGACGTGTGAATATTCTCTTGACCGTAGGGGGGTCGTGGCAGATGACATAGGACGTTGTGGAAATGTGATAACCGTAACTGAAAGACAACAACAATAAAGGATATTAGCATTTGACTGGAGAAGAGAGAGACACAATGGAGATTTATGGTAGCTCAATAAAGTGAAGCAGAAATAAAACGGCCCAACTTTATGGTGCAAAAACACCAAACTTTCATTTATCGGAAACGACACTACATGACCAGAGGTATGTGGACACCTGCTCGTCGAACATCTCATTCCAAAATCATGGGTATTAATATGGAGTTGGTCCTCCCTTTGCTGCTATAATAGCCTCCACTCTTCTGGGAAGGCTTTCCACTAGATGTTGGAACATTGCTGTAGGGACTTGCTTCCATTCAGCCACAAGATCATTAGTGAGGTCGGGCACTGATGTTGGGCAATTAGGCCTGGCTCGCAGTCAGTTTCCAATTCATCCCAAAAGGTGTTTGATGGGGTTGAGGTCAGGGCTCGGTGCAGGCCAGTAAAGTTCTTACACAGCGATCTCGACAAACCATTTCTGTATGGACCTCGCTTTGTGCACAGGGGTATTGTAATGCTGTAACAGGAAAGGGCCTTGCCCAAACTGTTGCCACAAAGTTGGAAGCACAGAATCGTCTGGAATGTCATTGTATGCTGTAGCGTTAAGATTTCCCTAGCCCGAACCATGAAAAACAGCTCCAGACCATTATTCCTCCTCCACCAAACTTTACAGTTGGCACTACGCATTCGGGCAGGTAGTGTTCTCCTGGCATCCGCCAAACACAGATTTGTCCGTCGGACAGCCAGATGGTGAAGCGTGATTCATCACTCCAGCCGACGATTGGCATTGCGATTGGTGATCTTAGGCTTGTGTGCGGCTGCTCGGCCATGGAAACCCATTTCATGAAGCTCCCGACAAACAATTATTGTGCCGATGTTGCTTTCAGAGGCAGTTTGGAACTCGGTAGTGAGTGTTGCAACCGAGGACAGGCGATTTTTATGCGCTACGTGCTTCAGCACTCGGCGGTCCCGTTCTGTGAGCTTGTGTGGCCTACCACTTCTGCGGCTGAACCGTTGTTGCTCCTAGACGTTTCCACTTCACAATAACAGCACAGACAGTTGACCGGGGCAGCTCTAGCTGGGCAGAAAGTTGACAAACTTACTTTTTGGAAAGGTGGCATCCTCTAACGTTGCCACGTTGAAAGTCAATGAGCTCTTCAGTAAGGCCATTCTACTGCCAATGTTTGTCTATGGAGATTGCATGTCTGTGTGCTCGATTTTATACACCAGTCAGTAACGAGTGTGCCTGAAATAGCAGTATGAAAATGTATGCACTGACTAACTGCGTCTGCTAAATGACAACTAAAAAAAAGTACCCAAAGTTTTAGTATACTGTGTTAGGTACATAGTTAGGTATGGTATCACAGTTGTAACAACGTGTACCTACTACCTAGTTATTCCACTGTACTTGTCTAACTAACTACCATGTAGATACTGAGATTTTAGGCCACTTAATGTAAAGTGACACCAAATAAACTCAGTAAACCAGAACATGGGGTATAGGAGGAAACTGGAATGACACCTACGTTTCATAGATGTTCTCTAGCTGTTGATGGAGGGTCAGGTTCTTGTTGTAGAGATAAGAGGCCATCTCAGCCACAACCACAGCTGCACTCACTCCATCCTTATCTGGGACCATGCTGCCACACAGGAATCCTGAAACACAGCAGACAAAACAAAAAAGACATATCAGGGCATATTTATCAAATACTAGTCCAATGGTCACTGCAACTCTCCCTCCTTAGCAGCCTGTCTGTACCTCAGGTAAACAGTGTACTGATCAACCCATTTGGTAGAAATGCAAATGTAAACATTTTCACATCATATTCTCAATTAAATTGAACTGTTTTCTATAATATGCATTAAAGATAACTTGACATGTAAGAAATAGGCAAATAGGTTGATCAACTCAAAATAATTTGATAAAGCCTTATATTATGTTCAGGATTGATCATTAATTGTTTGCAATAGTGGATACCACCACCATGACTTTATATTCAAAGTTTCAAACTGCTTTCACCATAAAGGACAAAGCAAATGTTATAAGAACTGAAAGAGATTTGTTAACCTATAGACTCCTCAAAGGCGAAGATCACTTCATTCCCTGTTTTTGCCAACTCGTGTATTTTCTTTCCGATCCATTTGAAACCAGGCAATGTTTCCTGAAACAGAGGGAACAGGGGTGCATTCATTAGCGCACACTGTAGAAATATTAAAACAAGTGTTTATTGGACAAATTCAGGTCCTTCCCCATTTCCACCCGTTTGCTTCCGTCACAGATTCTCCATTATATTGACCAGATACTCAAGTGGCCGCTCTAAAAATTTAAATAAATGTCTTCAAAAATGCAGTCGGGAGGCAAGATCAGGTGGGACCATTCAACCATTCCGATATAACGTATTTTTTTTCCCAAAGTTGATGGGATGTCACATGTCCTTACTTATATCAGTACACTCGTAACAACCTAAGCATTATGAAACTTCTATTAGATTAAATAAGCCTCACGTAGCAAATAAGCCATTACATTTGTTTACATTTACATTGTTGTTCACTCATTGACCTTCATACAAAAACTCCTCGCTTGGTGAGCAAAAAATTAACAAAAAAACACCACCTGCTGGAGGAGACAGATTTTGGGCCTAGTTATCCCTCTCGCTTCGCCTCGTCCCCTCTGCTTCCATTTGGTTCCTAGTGAATACACCCCAGAGGTGAGGTTTTTGAGCACCTGGCAGAGGGCTCTCATGCTACTATCGTGACAGCAGGCAGTGCAACCAGAGCAAGTCTGAAAGCTAAGGGTGTATATTGCTCGACCTCCAACCATCCTTCATTCACCTGGAGGAGGAAAACGTACATACTTCAAAATGGAAGCCCTCTATCCGTGCAAAGGCCTTGAGGATCTTGGAGGAGACTGTGGTGGCCAGCATGTACATCCTCTCCATATCAGCCGGGTCTGAGTGAGTCTCCTTCCAATTGAACAGCATCCACCAGCCCAGCAGAGCTGCAAGTTCATTACCTGTGAAAACCTTCCATCCGCACCTTGACAGAACATGACGACAAAGCTAAGGTCAAGAGTTTTGTCATCTCAGCAAGAAAAACGTGTTGTAGCTAACAACCATGGCCCAGAGTTTTCCCTAGCCAGATCACATGGTCAGGAAAAGCTCTTGGCCTTTGAATAAAATGACATTCGATCTGTGCATCTCAGTAATAGCTTGTGGTCCAATATTCAGTATTATAATTATATTTTAAGAGAGTAGGCTACATTTGTATCAGGTATTTTACCTGTCAGATTGCTCTGCAACAGCCAAACGATCTGCATCAGGATCAGTTGCCATGACAATCTTGGCATTCTCTCTCTCAGCAAGGCGAAGGGAGAGCTCCTGCAACACCAAATATCAAAACAACAATCATGGAGGACGCACAAGCCACTTTATATTCACGGGAGTGAGATGCACACCAATTTGTAGAAAAAAGACAGTGTCATTTATGCTACAGAGACACGAGGCTGCCGCATTAACACTTCCTTCACGTGCTGCTCGCATGGCCAGAGTAGTAGGCTGCATTGACACACAGTGAGAATTGTGCATCTAGTGTAGCAACTCTGTTACACAGATAGCACTGAAAAGTTTGGTGAATTTTGAATATTTCCTCACCAAAACAGACTCTCCTTCCTCTGGATTTGGACAGCTGACAGTGGAGAAGTTCGGATCAGGATCTTTCTGTTCTGGAACAGGGATAGGAGGAGGGAACCCAAACGCCCGGAAAGCCTGCTGGACGTAGTCATGCCCTACTCCGTGAAAGGACGAGTGCACAAACTTCAATGGGGACTTGGTGTTCAGTTCTCTGAGAAACAAGCAAGTAAAAACATGTATGAGTATGTTTTTTATAACACAAATATGTATTGTGTTTGCTGCAAAATTATTTGTGGACAAAGGAAATTAAAGTTAGCTGAATCTGAATTCAAACAATTCAACAAATTGAATAAGAAAAGGTCATCGGGGGTCATTAAAAAACAATATGTGATAACTACAACACGTTCACAGCCAGTGTGAGGGTGTTTGCCCGCTCCCTGCTTCATAATAAAATGTGTTTGCCGACTCCCAATTACACCATAAATCATAATTTTCTGAATTAATATCCAATTGTTAAAGGCAGCACACGTCACTGTGAATAAATCAGCATAGACTACTTGTGATCACTTTCTAAAGTACAGACTCCTATCACTGTGAATTGGTACCTGTGGAAACAAACAGAGCTGAGGTCCTCCATATACTTTTTGGAGATCTCCCTCAGCGGATCGCTCCTCAGTGGACTGCTGTCTGCCAAACTCTCGTTCCAGGACTCGCTCCATGGCTCTAAGCTCTCTTCAATGCACTTCAGGATCTCCTTGTCGTTAGGAGAAGAGATCTGGGCTCCATTGTCCCAGTAAACCTTCAAAGAAAAGCAAGACACTGTACCAAATGCTAATGCACAGCTTATCTTGCCATTGTATGGCATACCTAATTCAACCTCCCCTTAGGACAGGGTTTCCCAAACTCAGTCCTGGGGACCCCCACTGGGTGCACATTTAGTTTTTTGCCCTAGCACTACACAGCTGATTCAAATAACCAACTCATCATCAAGCTTTGATTATTATTTGAAAAACACTAAACGTGCACCCAGGCGGGGCCCCCAAGACAGAGTTTGTAAACCCTGCTAGTAATACAACACTAGGAATAAAGGCATATTTTATAAGAGGGATAACTGTTTTCTTGTATGATAAATAGCATACAGTCCCCTACAAAATGCAGTGTTAAAAGCTTTTAGTTCAATAAGGATTCTAGATGCTGTACGCTCCATGCCTTGACTCAAGTGACCCTGGTAAGATGAAAAGCAGAAGTCTGATACCTTGTATCCATTGTCTTCTTTAGGGTTGTGAGAGGCAGTGACCATCACACCAGCTGCAGCACCCAGCCTCTTTACAGCATATGGCTAGGAGAGATCACAAAACAGTAAGGCCTTGGGAACTAAATTAGTGCAATTCTTAGCCTAATCTGAAAGCGCTGAGACTTTACCAGCTGTATAGCCATATAAGTACATCCAGAGGTTTTTCTTGACGACACAATCTGGCCATTAAAAACCATTATAACTAAGGCATAGACTCCTTCCTGGTCTGGTCAGGTCACATGGCCAGGTAAATCACCTGGCCGTACATGTATGACATCACCAGTATATAGGAAACAAATTGGTAAGCAACCAAGAAACAAGTGATTTATGTCCAAGGAGGGATAAAGTGACCAGGTTTAAATTTTAATGGAATAGTTCAAATCAAACTATTTGATCTTACCACAAAGGGAGTGGGGACATATGTGGAGAAGAGAAACACTGGAATATCTTTACAAAGCATCACAGCTGCAGTCAACCGGGCAAGTCTGTGGAATAGAAAAATAATCGTAATATTTCTTTAGAAGAATAACACCAATAGTCCATTGTCAGACACACACATACACACCAGAGCCCTATACTATGTACTGTATGTGGTTTGAAGAGTTAGCGAGGTAACTTTGGTCAACTCTGAGTTCAACTCGGGATAACAGGTACCACGAAAGTGGCTCACCTTTTAGCCAGGTCAATTTCGATTGCAATGAATCCTTCAGAACTAACCTGCTCCTGGGCAGAATAACTCGGGCTAACTCTATTTATCCTAAATGAAGTGTCTGAACCACGAGTTGAGGACCAATGAAATCAGATTCCCTCCCTCTCCCAAAGATTGAGTCATCATCCCTTTCAATTGAGGAAGATGACTGATTAAATGTTTTATTGATTAAATGTTTTTTTGAGTGTTAAAAAATAGGGGGGGGGTAAATTCCCGTTCAAACAGGACATGGCATTTAAAGCATACAATACACAAAATGCATCAGACAATCGTTTGGAAAAGTGACACTTCTTTATCGTTTTTTTGGGTTCAGTACTGTACTAGCGTTGTGGTCACTGATCTAATGTGTGTGAACAAAGCCAAATAGTTAGTTGCTTTAGGCCACTCATTCTAGAGTAGTTATATTTTAGTAAAGCGGCGGTACTATTGTTCCGTTTCATTCATAATGCTCTGGGCATTGAAACATGTTAGATTTTTCTATTGTTACCACCTCTCTAACCTCTAAGCTACCTGTTGCTCCAAACTCTCTAATATTCTAAAACTCTAGCTTGTGGGTTCCCTGCTTGTCAACTGGGAAATAGCCTACACACAATGCCCTAAAAAAATCTATTTCCTGTTATTATTTCGGCTCTAGAAATGTGTGCAGTTAACAGTAGGCCAAGAATGCAATCAATGTTCTCACTCGGTCCATCTGTATTCACGACTATTTTGCCATCACACAACTTCAGGCAGGAATGTGACCTCTTTATAAACTTTATCACACTGCACTGTCGACAGAGCAATCCAAAGCCACAATCAGCATTACATTAGGAGTTATTTATTAGATAACTAAAAGGCCCACTGATATTTACAGCCAGTTTTTAACCATTTACATTAAAATCAGACTTTCTAATATGTAGCCAGTTATACGTGTTTGCAAGTGGTGGTATGATCTGCAGAGGAGAAGGAGGAGGTATAGTATAGTACCGTTCACTGTTGCAACCACTGGCCTCCTGCGCTCGAGTGTCGTATCCAACCACTATGCCACGGCTACCGAAGTCGGGGAAAAACCTGGCCAGATATTTGTATATTCCCTGCAGTGAGGAGGAATGGAAAAAGAATGGAATGATGAGGCCATGTCTATACCTCTTTAAAATTCTTCTTTCCTATTATCCTTCATGTTTTCACTTTGTAAAGGAGGTAAGGGAAACTCTTGGGTTGGGTTGTTAGACTTTTGTGTGCTCTGCTCCATGAGACACAGTCAGTTTGTCACGATAACAGAATTTTGAATTCGATACAGATACCAGGTTTGGTATCACTATACTCGATAACATGACGATACTCAACACCAAAACGATACCCCAGCAAAAAAAAGGAAATGTATATTAGCCAGTCACAGAATGGCACTTGATCCAGACAGATAAACTTTGCTACTGCTCTGTTCAACCGTAGGGAATCTTCTGAGTTCAATATAATTTTATTAGAATTTTATTACGTAAATGTTTCAGAGACAGCCATGTTTACATTAATGAATCAATTATACAAATGATACAATCAATTTGACTTTGTTTTTACCAATCGAACTACATAATATAATGGTAATCATTTATTTGAATGGTAAATCTCTTTTGATAAAATGGGTAAATCAATATTTAGCCTAGGCCTATTCACAATACTGGTGAATAGGAGTGTGTGCATGCATTGAGTTCTTGAGCTTGTTTTAGCTGATTTCATGGGGCTACAGATAACAAACAATCTGTTTCCCTTCCATTTGGGCCTCATTTTATTGTACTGATCAACAACATTTGCATAGAAGTACCTTATTTTATAAACAAGTAATGACGTCATTCATGAAGCAAGACGGTGCAACCCGTATGAGCCCTATTCACACGCACAGTCAGTTGAATTACATGTTTTTAGAGGCAGTCAGCTTGGAAATCAGCATATTTTGCATTATGGCACATAATCACAAACAAAGTACAAGGGTTTTGAATGTGTTCGCTTCAGCTGTAAGCTAGTAAGAAAAGTTAGCATACAAAGTTGGATGCTACCGGTATCTTATTGCATTGTAAAGTGTTCTAGCTTGTATGGACATAGTTTCGCGAACAGTAATTCAGTAATTAACAGTTTTAAAATTTCTACATGCCTTGTTGCATTATTCAAGTGTGTTAACTTCTGTGCAGCATGAGTGGGGAGCTAACATGATGCAGCCAAGACTCCCAGTGCAGGCTAGCAATGAGTAAGTGGAGCAGGCACCGTGAGCGCCTCGCGCTATATACAGGACATCGGCTGCGCTGATCCGTGATATACATTTAACAGAAGTACCAGAAGTTTTTTATTTTTTTTTAGCTAGGACTGAACCGTTTTTCATGTTCTAGTATCGAAAAATTACGAAAGTTTCTGTAAAAATATTTAAGTGCATTTGAACGGGGTGTGGTAGTAGGTGCCAGGCACACACGGTTTGTGTCAAAAACAGCAACGTTGCTGGGTTTTTCACGCTCAACAGTTTCCCATGTGTATCAAGAATGATCCAACATCCAAAGGACATCCAGCCAACTTGACAACTGTGGGAAGCATTGGCGTCAACATGGGCCAGCATCCCTGTGGAACGCTTTCGACACCTTCTAGAGTCCATGCCCTGACTAATTGAGGCTGTTCTGAGGGCAAAAGGGGGTGCAACTGAATATTAGGAAGGTGTTCTTAATGTTTTGTACACTCAGTGTATATACTGTATATAAACTCAGCAAAAAAAGAAACGTCCCTTCTTCAGGACCCTGTCTTTCAAAGATAATTCGTAAAAATACAAATAACTTCACAGATCTTCATTGTAAATGGTTTAAACACTGTTCCTCATGCTTGTTCAATGAACCATAAACAATTAATGAACATGCACCTGTGGAAAGGTCGTTAAGACACTAACAGCTTACAGACGGTAGGCAATTAAGGTCACAGTTATGAAAACTTAGGACACTAAAGAGGCCTTTCTACTGACTCTGAAAAACACCAAAAGAAAGATGCCCAGGGTCCCTGCTCATCTGCCTGAATGTGCCTTAGGCATGCTGCAAGGAGGCATGAGGACTGCAGATGTGGCCAGGGCAATAAATTGCAATGTCCGTACTGTGAGACGCCTAAGACAGCGCTACAGGGAGGAAGGATGGACAGCTGATCGTCCTCGCAGTGGCAGACCACGTGTAACAACACCTGCACAGGATCGGTACATCCGAACATCACACCTTCGGGACAGGTTCAGGATGGCAACAACAACTGCCCGAGTTACACCAGGAACGCAAAATCCCTCACTCAGTGCTCAGACTGTCCGCAATAGGCTGAGAGAGGCTGGACTGAGGGCTTGTAGGCCTGTTGTAAGGCAGGTCCTCACCAGACATCACCGGCAATAACATCGGCTATGGGCACAAACCCACCGTCGCTGGACCAGACAGGACTGGCAAAAAGTGCTCTTCACTGACGAGTCATTTGCGTTTATCGTCGAAGGAATGAGCGTTACACTGAGGCCTGTACTCTGGAGCGGGATCGATTTGGAGGTGGAGGGTCCGTCATGGTCTGGGGCGGTGTGTCACAGCATCATCGGACTGAGCTTGTTGTCATTGCAGGCAATCTCAACGCTGTGTGTTGCAGGGAAGACATCCTCCTCCCTCATGTGGTACCCTTCCTGCAGGCTCATCCTGACATGACCCTCCAGCATGACAATGCCACCAGCCATACTGCTCGTTCTGTGCGTGATTTCCTGCAAGACAGAGGAATGTCAGTGTTCTGCCATGGCCAGCGAAGAGCCCGGATCTCAATCCCATTGAGCACGTCTGGGACCTGTTGGATCGGAGGGTGAGGGCTAGGGCCATTCCCCCCCAGAAATGGGCGGGAACTTGCAGGTGCCTTGGTGGAAGAGTGGGGTAACATCTCACAGCAAGAACTGGCAAATATGGTGCAGTCCATGAGGACGAGATGCACTGCAGTACTTAATGCAGCTAGTGGCCACACCAGATACTGACTGTTACTTTTGATTTTGACCCCTCCTTTATTCAGGGACACATTATTCAATTTCTGTTAGTCACAGGTCTGTGGAACTTGTTCAGTTTATGTCTCAGTTGTTGAATCTTGTTATGTTCATACAAATATTTACACATGTTAAGTTAAGTTTGCTGAAAATAAACGCAGTTGACAGCGAAAGGACGTTTCTTTTTTTGCTGAGTTTATATACACTGATTATACCAAACATTAGGAACACCTTCCTAATATTGAGTTGCACCCCCTTTTTCCCTCAGAACAGCCTCAATTTGTCATTGCCCATTCACCCTCTGAATGGCATACATACACAATCCATGTCTCAAGGCTTAAAAATCCTTCTTTAACCTGTCTCCTCCCCTTCATCTACACTGATTTAAGTGGATTTAACAAGTGACATCAATAAGGGATCATAACCTTCACCTGGTCAGTCTGTCGTGGAAAGAGCAGGTGTTTTTAATGTTTTGTATACTCAGTGTATATACTACAACAGCCCCTATGCCTTTGTGACACTGCTAGTTTTTATTTAATTTGATTTAGTTACATAGGCCTATGTATGCTGCAATTCAGCTTTTTTGCTGCAAATGTGTACAATTCAAAATAAACCTTAAATATATATCTAAAAACTACTGGGAGGTAGGTACTCCACCACCATATTGCAATGCTGAAGTCATTGATCTCATTAATGGTGGACCTTAAAATGGCTGACACCAATATATAAAAACCACTGTTACTTCTGACACTTTTTCTTTTAAAACATTGATATAGGGGTTTTACATTAACCTGTGATTTATATATTATGCATACTCATTGGACAGCATTGTACTTAATCATAAGGTAAAATCATCTATATGACATCATACACAGCGGGCTGCCTACCTGCTTACAGACAACTGCAACAACCTTCAAATCTGTCAAGGCTGCCACTATTGGCTGTTTCCTTGAAGATGGAAAAGAGAGAACACCTATTTTTGCAAGGGGGTGGATTGGATTATGCTGAGCCGCGGGGCACCGGTCTATGGCCCGTGACGTGAACAGGCAAAAGTGATGAGGGAAGAGCGCCCTTCTCAAATCGAATAATAATCTGCACAGCTCGGTCATGTTGTCAACAAGGCAGCACGGTGCATCGTCCAGAAACATAGAACATCTCTTTTCCATAAACGATATATTTGAATTTTCAAACTACTTTTCATTGGGAAGGCAGATAAAGCGTTTTTATCAAAAGCAATCACTTTTGCATGTGAAAAACACAGAATGGTAGTTATTACTCCACGTGCTTAATTACGCCACTTTCGTTTGGACTGAACGGGGCTCCTTGCTCATGCCCAGTAGGCAGCCCGGTTCCAAAAGGAATACAATCAACTTTCACCCGGTGCAAAACACGCCTACCCAGGGGCCCAGGCCAGATTAATCGAATCCCCTCAATGATAGCCCACAATGGCGCTTCCTATCTCCATTTTAAAAGTCGATTTCTACTTGGTAGTCTTCTACTTCAATGAGGTTATTGGCAGTTAATAAACAAATTGAAAAGGTGCATAGTACCACATAAACCCAAGGTTGATGATTTACTGCCATGAAGATCTCAGCTCTGCCAATTTTGTTGTTGTTGAGATCTGTAACCAGGAAGTCGCTCCACTGTACACAATGATACCCTTGACCAGCACAAAAACATCCTGTGGCGTACTGCATTAGCATCAAATAGCCCCCGCGATATGCAACTTTTCAGGGAAGGTAGGAACCAATATACACAAGCAGTTAGGAAAGCAAAGGCTAACTTTTTCAAACAGAAATTTGCATCCTGTAGCACTAACTCCAAAAAGTTTTGGGACACTGTAAAGTCCATGGAAAATAAGAGCACTTCCTCCCAGCTGCCCACTGCACTGAGGCTAGGAAACACTATCACCACCGATAAATCTACAATAATCGAGAATTTCAACAAGCATTTTGCTACGGCTGGCCATGCTTTCCACCTGGCTACCACTACCCCGGCCACCAGCTCTGCACCCTCCGCTGCAACTTGCCCATGCCCCCCCCGCTTCTCCTTCACACAAATCCAGACAGCTGATGTTCTAAAAGAGCTGCAAAATCTGGACCCCTACAAATCATCTGGGCTAGACAATCTGGACCCTTTCTTTCTAAAACTAGCCGCCGAAATTGTCGCAACCCCTATTACTAGCCTGTTCAACCTCTCTTTCGTAACGTCTGAGATCCCCAGAGATTGGAAAGCTGCCGCGGTCATCCCCCTCTTCAAAGGGGGTGACACTCTAGATCCAAACTGTTACAGACCCATATCCATCCTGCCCTGCCTTTCAAAAGTTTTTGAAAGCCAAGTCAACAAACAGATCACCGACCATTTCGAATCCCACCGTACCTTCTCCGCTATGCAATCCGGTTTCCGAGCTGGTCATGGGTGCACTTCAGCCACGCTCAAGGTCCTAAACGATATTATAACCGCGATCGATAATAGACAGTACTGTGCAGCCGTTTTCATTGACCTGGCCAAGGCTTTCGACTCTGTCAACCACTGCATTCTTATTGGCAGACTACATAGCCTTGGTTTCTCAAATGACTGCCTCGCCTGGTTCACCAACTACTTCTCAGATAGAGTTCAATGTGTCAAATCGGAGGGCCTGTTGTCTGGACCTATGGCAGTCTCTATGGGGGTGCCACAGGGTTCAATTCTTGGGCCGACTCTTTTCTCTGTGTATATCAATGACGTCGCTCTTGCTGCTGGTGACTCTCAGATCCACCTCTACGCAGACGACACCATTTTGTATACATCTGGCCCTTCATTGAACACTGTGTTAACAAACCTCCAAACGAGCTTCAATTCCATACAACATTCCTTCAGTAGCCTCCAACTGCTCTTAAACACTAGTAAAACTAAATGCATGCTCTTCAACCGAACGCTGCTTGCACCCGCCCACCCGACTAGAATCACTACTCTCGACGGGTCTGACCTAGAGTATGTGGACAACTACAAATATCTAGGTGTCTGGTTAGACTGTAAACTCTCCTTCCAGACTCACATTAAGAATCTCCAATCCAAAGTTAAATCTAGAATCGGTTTCCTATTTCGCAACAAAGCCTCCTTCACTCATGCTGCCAAACATGCCCTCGTAAAACTGACTATCCTACCGATCCTTGACTTCGGCGATGTCATTTACAAAATAGCCTCCAACACTCTACTCAGCAAATTGGATGTAGTCTATCACAGTGCCATCCGTTTTGTCTCCAAAGCCCCATATAATACCCACCACTGTGACCTGTACGCTCTTGTTGGCTGGTCCTCACTACATATTCGTCGCCAAACCCACTGGCTCCAGGCCATCTATAAATCACTGCTAGGCAAATCCCCGCCTTATCTTAGCTCATTGGTCACCATAGCAACACCCACCCGTAGTCTGTGCTCCAGTGGGTATATCTCACTGGTCATCCCCAAAGCCAACACCTCCTTTGGCCGCAATTCCTTCCAGTTCTCTGCTGCCAATGACTCGAACAAATTGCAAAAATCTCTGAAGCTGGAGACACTTATCTCCCTCACTAACTTTAAGCATCAGTTGTCAGAGCACCTTACCGATCACTGCACCTGTACACAGCCCATCTGAAATTAGCCCGCCCAACTACCTCATCCCTATATTGTTATTTATTTTGCTCATTTGTACCCCAGTATCTCTATTTGCACATCATCTCTTGCACATCTATCATTCCAGTGTTAATACTAATTGTAATTATTTTGCACTATAGCCTATTTTATTGCCTTACCTCCATAACTTGCTAAATTTGCACAGACTGTATATTATATGTATTTCTGTTGTATTTTTGACTTTGTTTTGTTTTACCCCATATGTAACTCTGTGTTGTTGTTTTTATCACACTGCTTTGCTTTATCTTGGCCAGGTCGCAGTTGTAAATGAGAACTTGTTCTCAACTGGTTTACCTGGTAAAATAAAGGTGAAATAAAAATAAAATAAATAAAAAAATATAGCTGAATGAGTCTATATCTTTAACATAACTTGTGCCAGAATAGTTTGCTTATAGAAATAAACTATTATTAACCTGTGTGGACTGGATGATAGTCAGATCATTAATGAGGGCAAAGCCTGCGCCCATGGCTGCCCTCAGCCCTGCCGTCCCAAACGCCATCCTGGAGCAGAGCCTACGCCTCAGCTCCTCCACTTGCCCATCCAGCAACAGGGCCTCTATCTGAGCTCTGGTCCGTGGATTCTGAATGGGAAGAAATACATTAGCTACACATTCAGCACTCTCTTACTGACATCATTACTCAACACAGTTGCACACCCCTTAATTGAAGACTGACTTGCTTGCTGATTGAGTCAAATATACAATTCCCACTGCTTTAGCATTATGGTTGCGCTACACTGGAACTGAACAAAAATATAATCTTGGCTGTTGCTAAAAGTAGCCTAATCTTGTTTGTTCAATCAGCATTTGTTTATACAGAATATCTTCTTAAATCTAGACATAGATCTGGGCCCTTACAGTTCCTTACTGCATCTGACAGTCCAAGTCAGGTTAAGAAGTCTGACATTTAGAGAGTGGGGGTCAGCCATATCCATTGCTTTTATGCCCTTTCTAAACTAGGGCTCCAGTGCAAGTGTTAGGGGTGGAGTAGAGGCTGCATGCGATTAGTAATAAGAAAAATAGGTAAAATTGTAGCCTGATACCAGACTTGTTTGTGCGCATATGACAAGGTGTGGAATGTTAGCACAAACAGATCTGGCACAATGGCTAGGTCTTGCCCTCCTTAACACGTTTTACATTTGAGTAATTTAGCATTCATGCAGAGCGACTTACAGGAGCAATTAGGGTTACGTGCCTTGCTCAAGGGCACAGACAGATTTTTCACCTAGTCGGCTTGGGGATTTGAACCAGCAACCTTTCGGTTACTCGCCCAACGCTCTTAGCCGCTAGGCTACCTGCCACTATGCGACACACACATAGGGATTTCAGAAGACCATCGATCTGAAGGGCATAAGGCATTTGCACCTGACATACCAGGCAAGTGACAACCCAAGTCAGTACACCGTCAATAAAAAGTGTTAACTATGATGACGCCACTGACAGTTGACTCACTGACCTTATCCCACGTTATCCATTGGTAAATAGCCTTATCAAGTCGCACGTCCCCAGTTGCATGGCAATTTAGGTCCAGGTCTCCGTTGTTCTCCATAGCAAGATATTGTGCAGCAAAACATAAAGCTAGCTAACTACGTAGCTAACGTTGTTAACGTTAGTTTACAAAACTAGCAAGCTAGCAATAGGCCAGGCAGGACAGAACGTCCCTAGCTATCGGTCTTGACGTTGTCTCTGTGTGAGTGTTTGCTTTGGCTACCGAAACTCACAAAACAGATATATACTAGCTAACAGCAGCCAAGATAAGATAAGAAATGTATTGTCTAACAAACCGTTAGGACGCTAGCTAGCTAACGTTAGCTTGACGCGCTGGAGTGGTGGTGTTGACTGTTGTTGAGCGACCGAGCTAGCTAGCTAGCTAGCTACTAGTAGTAAGTAGTACCATGTCATGTTATCATCTGCAGTAGACATCTGGCTGGCGTGATCACCCTTGAAAAACAGCACGCTAGCTAGTTATAACTAGTTATCAAGCGTAGCAGCATAATGACCCCTCCTTATCAGCCTTGTCCTATCTTAGCACACACTTAGCACTAAAGTTGTCTTTATTATGTGAAACTAGTTAGCTAGCTACCTTAGTTAGTAGACTGAAGTTGGGACTAGTTACCACAGCCACAAAGTCAAAATTGGTTATGTTGTAAGAATTCATGAAATAAATACATATATTTTTGGTCTTAATTTAAGGTTAGGGTTTGGCATAAGGTTAGCAGTGTGGTTAAGGATAGTTTTAAAATCATTGTAAGATAATTTTTTTGAAATAGGCGGACTTTGTGACTTTGTGGCTGTGGTAACTAATGACGACCAACTAGTAGCCTTCAGTCGCGCGGCTACATTTGGACTACCAAAACAGCGGGCTCACGCCATCATAGCGCATTCTGGGAAACGTAGTTTCTTTGCTGACAGGTACACCCGGGAGAGGGAGTGAAAACAACATCATGATTGTCAAAATATACATGTTTTATTTACCGTGCATTGTTTAATTGTTATTAGAATATTATCCATGAAGCAGTGTGCAGTCAAACTGGTCACTGAAAGTTTCCAGCAGTCGTGGGATGGTACTTCAATAGAGACATCTCTTCCCAGTTATTCACTGAGGGATGTGACACCTTTGCCAACAATCCCACATGGCACAATGTTTTCAAACCAGCCCATATCTGTGTTGCAGTTCAGTGCCAAGCTATGAGATGGTATGTATGTCCCACAATGGATTCCTGAAAGAGGAAACATTTGACTGTAATATCAAGCATGACACATTGTAGCTCTGTTGTTGTAAACATAGCAAAAAATAGGTTATTTCAATCAAAGGTTAACCTACCTATGGCACATATCTTGTTGTCTCCAACCCAGACCCCAGTGTCTGGGGAGGTGGATGCTTTTATCCCATACTTCCTGCAAAGGTTGATGACAGTCCTCTCCAGCTAAAACACGTACCATTTCACACTTTTCTTGAAGCAGCCCAAGTTGAGTATTGGGTAGCACACCAACTGCCCTGGGCCATGGAAAGTTATGAGTCCGCCACGGTTGCTACGAAAGAATTCAGCACCAAGGAGTTTGTCTTTGCTCCTCTTCGAATGGGTATAGGGCCTGTCTGATTCCAATGGTGTAGAAAAGCGGGTGTTCACACAGTAGCAGAGCATTGTGCAATTTGTCTTTAGAATCCAGATGTCTCCTAACAGAGTTGCTGTACTTGTAATGCACGCACCTAGGAAATACGACCCAACTAGATCACTTCAACTGCTGCTTTTGAAGGGTGCATTTTTAATGATAATTGAGTGTAAAGGCCTTGTTCACTGTTTTCGATAGACAGACAATGCCAAGTTTCTATTCTGAAGGACATAAAGTACAGTAGACCATGCAGCTCGCGTCTTTCACAACGAACTTTGCATCCTTTGCCTGTGTTTGATCATGCCTGGCTCCATGATTCAGGTTCTCCAGTGTCGAGATCTCGTAGATGGGGCCAGATACGTTGAAAGTCGCTAGTCATCACTTGTAATCTTTGTTAATGACTGGACATTAGCGACATAATCAATAGTGTACATACTTGACATCCATGCCATGGGCGCAGCCCTTCTTCTTCTTCTTCAGTGGGGTTTATCGGCGGTTGGCATCCAACGTAATGGTGCATTACCGCCACATACGGTACTGGAGTGTGGGCCAGAGACAGGGAGAAACTAAACCATACCTTCCAACCCTGTTTCTCTTTAAAAAGATAACAAAATATTTGAGACTATATCTAATGACGTTCTACTCAATATACTCTTTAAACTAATTTCCTGTATCCCCTTCTCCCTCATACTAGATCTCATCCTCTCTCTTTCCCTCTGATACTGCCCACACTGTAGCAATACATGCTCCACGGTCTCTGTTTCCTGACAATAATCACACTTTCCTGATGGATGCTTTCCTATCACATTTAATGTCTTATTCAACTGGCTGTGTCCCACCCTTAATCTTGTGATCCTCTGTAGCTCAATTGGTAGAGCACCGCGCTAGTAACGCCAGGGTAGTGGGTTCGATCCCCGGGACCACCCATACGTAAAAATGTATGCGCGCATGACTGTAAGTCGCTTTGGATAAAAGCGTCTGCTAAATGGCATATTATTGTAAAAATAGCCTCCTCTCTTCTGTCCCTTCCTGCTGTCCTCCCCTCCTTTCCTCTGTACTTGAAATAAATGCCTTCCCTTATTATCTCTATTCCACTGCTCCTGCCATCTCTGCACCATCACTGTATATATCAGTCTTTTTGCCTCTGCCTTGCTCATTGAAACTTCAACATCAACATCCCCACTACTAAGTGCTTGTTTAGCCTGTTCATCTACATCCTCGTTCCCCTCCACCCCCACATGGTCTGGGACCCAAGTAAATCTTATCTGAATACCCATCTATTAATCCTGCCATGGGTTTGAAGCACCTCATAAAGCAGGTATTGTCTGCTACGTGAGCTAAAGGACTGGAGACTCATTAACACTGCATATGAATAAGAGCAAATAACTACTCTGTCTTGTTTGACTTCCTCCACCCACTGCAAGGCCAACTGTATGGCCATCAGCTCCGCCGTAAATACAGCCATATGATCTGTAATACGTTTCCTGACTTCCACCCCACATTCCTGCACTACAAATGCTGACCCAGTACGTCCTGTCCTTGGATCTTTTCAACCATCTGTGTAAATGGCCACAAAATCCTGATACACAGTTTCCAGACGTCTCTTAAAGAAATCAGCTGGATCAACACCCTCCCTATCTTTCTGAAGTCTCTCCAACACTTCTAGATCAACTACTGGAGGTGGGAGTAGCCATGATGGATTTACAGGAATAACTACCGTTGGACTAAACTCCCTTCCATACAGTCCCATCTCCTTCGCCTTGGTATTACCCACCCACCCAAAGCTCGTGTTCTGTCTTTGCTCATGTTCCCAGCATGCCTGTAAAATCCCTTTCGCAGGATGAGACACCCCATGTCCTTGTAGGTTGACCCAATAATTCATTGCCAGCTGCTGTCTCCTAATCTGCAATGGAATATCCTCCATTTCCACCTGTAATGCAGCCACTGGGGACGTCCGAAACGCCCCACTACATATTCTGAGTCCTTGCCCCTGTATGACATCTAGCCTTAACAATGAGGTCCGGGCTGCCGAACCATACGCTATACTGCCATAGTCTATTACAGATCGGATCAATGCAACATACATGGTCTTCAATAAGGAACGCCCAGCCCCCCACTCCTTCACATTTAGCACCTTCTGACACTTTCCCGCCACTCTCTCAATGTGTTCTGCCCAGATCAGTCTAGTGTCAAAGTATACCCCAAGGAACCTGAAGGCCCCCACCCTCTCCAAGTTTCTCCCATATAACCTCAAGCATACCTCAACTCCCACCTTCCTCCTGGTTTGAGTTTTCTCTACAGAGAACCTGAATCCCCACATTAATGCCCACCGATCTACCTCATCAATTGCTTCCTGTACCTTCCTGACTATGTATGGCACATTTCTTCCCCTCTTCCATAAGGCCCCATCATCTGCAAATAACGACCTCCCTATACCCGGCTGTACCTGAGAGTAAACATCATTGATCATGATTGAGAACAACAGAGGACTAATCACGCTCCCCTGTGGTGTACTGTTATCCACCAGGTAGCTGCCTGATAAAGACTTCCCCACCCTCACCTGGATAGACCTTCCAAACAGGAAATCCTTTATCCAGTTGTACGTTCTTCCTCCTACCCCCATAATATCAAGCTTGATTAACAACACCTCCTTCCACATCATATCATACGCCTTCTCGACATCAAAAAAGACAGCTACAACAGTCTCCTTGTTCACCTGAGCTTTCCTGACCTCTGCTTCTAAGCAGAGCACTGGATCCATAGTTCCCCTACCCTTCCTGAACCCACTCTGATGTGGCGATACTAGCCCTCTGCCCTCCAGAAAGTAAGTTAGCCTCTCCGTAATCATACGTTCCATAATCTTACATACATGTGATGTTAAAGCTATTGGCCGATAGCTTGTTGGCTTCGTTGGATCCTTCCCGGGCTTCCGGATTGGTACCACTACTTCCTCCTTCCAGCTGCCTGGTAGTTTCCCCTCCTCCCACACTCTGTTGTACAACACCAATACCTTATCCAGTGCCTCATCACTAAGATGGGCCAACATAACATAGCACACCTCATCTTTCCCAGGTGAAGTTAACCCAGCCTTACCTATTGCTCTTTTCACCTCTGCCCTGGTAAATGGTGCATTCAACGCATCATTTACATCCTCCCTCCTTCCCAGCACTCCAGGATGCACCTCTCTCATGTTCTCTCTCCCCCTCTGCCCCTCCTCTGACAGATTTGCGGATCTATGCACTTCGACAAATGCTTTGGCCATCATCTCTGCTTTCTCCTCATCTGTTACTGCCACATCCTCCCCACTCGTCAACACTGGATAATCCTACTCTCTTCTAACCACACTCATCCTCTTAATCATCCCCCACACTTCTCCAACAGGTGTCGCCATGGGCACAGCCATATTGGATTTGTTATTTTATCTTTAGTGAGTGGTGCGTTATCGCCTCCAACTGGACGGGGTTGTAACCGCAAGCCTTTCTGATTTGAGGCACAGAGGGTCACGTTACCACCCTCTAGCGTTTCAGTGTTCGAACAACATCAGAGAGAAAATATTTATGGGGCCCCCTCTGAATACTTTGAAAATGCAAATTCCCCCTTTCCTTAAGGTAGTCTAGTAGGCCTGTAGTAGATTTGTGAAAGTTAATGGAACCCCTTGCTTTCACCCATCTATCCTGTTAGATCCAGGATATGGAGACAATAATACATTGATTTCATAAGTACTTGAACCAGGCCTGGGTGTTGGGGGGTAGAGGTGGTATCTACCTTCTTGTCAATGTCCCTCCATCTACTGTACACTGACCTGAAAAAACAGGACTGGTAAAAGCATATGCCAGGTAGGATAGGGGACCACACCACATTGCTTTCACCTATCCAGTATTTTTAAATAATCGCAGATGAAAGGAATGGAATGAGGGAGTCAATTTAGATTATTGTCATGCAGCTCTGATAGGTTCCTTGAGTGTTTAAATTAAGTGGGGCGACATGTCTTACATTGAGTGGAACCTATTTTTAATTTCACAGGTAGCTCTGTAACATTATTCAGACAAGAACAAGAAGGGCAGGTCTAGGCTAATATAATTACACATGATAGGATTCAATTCCAAAATGTACTGCCCACTGGTCCCTATGTTCCCGGTCATTTTTCCCCCTCCTTATTTAAAGCACAAGCTCTGACTACTAGTCTTATTAAGTTAACTGGGACTGATTGCAAAGAATAGGCTAAACCTGAGAGAAACTGTCGCATTGCAACTGTTTTAAAGAACAGTCAATATCAGAAAACCATCATGAAATATCACTGCATGATGCTCTTGGTGCTCCTCGCTTTCTTGGCCATTGCATGTAAGTCTTGAAAACGACCAACTTGTGAAACAGACAAGGTCAGAATTACTGAAATGATGATTGATTCATCTATCTGTAAAGTTTACGAGTGATATTTTGCTATTCCGTTTTACCACAGACCATAATTTGCGTGTCTTTTTAAACTGTTACAAAACTGTAAACTGTGACACTGTTAATAGTTGCTCAGCAAATACATTTTCTCTCTTGATAAGTACGTAATTGCTATAAACATCTAAGAACCTATTTATAATACTGTACATACATTTCATGAAAGTGTGAAAGGTAATTTAATCAAATGAAGATACTTAAAATTATACAAAAACAGGTGATGTAGATGAGGCAGCTGCTTTTCCAATTCCATGGGGATGCTCAAACTACAGCGGGGTCTGCCGTGGTGTCTGCCATGCTGTCTGCCTATCAGCAGAACGACCATTTGGACCTTTTGGATGTGCTAAAATATTTGTGTATGTTTATTGTTACCTTGACTTACGTTATAAAACGACTGTAGTAGTGTGTACATAAAAATATGATGCATAGGCTCTGTTTCTGAGAGCTACGTTGTGTACTTTTCAAAATGCTGTAATGTTGTGTTGAATATTGATTTAGTGGCTGCCAATGTAAAGGACTACTATAAAAAAATCTATAACTTTCAGATGCTGTGTCGCCCATGTCTTCTAAAATGCAGTTTTTCTCCTGCGCCTAAACTTCCAGCTGAATCAATGCAACAGTTACTTTTCAATGCACTTTGGCATTTAT